TTTATTATGTGTGTGTGTGTGTGTGTGTGTGTGTGTGTGTGTGTGTGTGTGTGTGTGTATATATATATATAAACAAATATAAGTGTATTAATATTTATTTATTTATTATAAAGAAATTCAAATTAATTGGTTAATTTATTGTATTAATTTTTATATAAATAAATTCACTTGATAAATTAATATATGTATTCATTAATTTATGTATTATTTATGCATTTTAATCATGCATGAGCTTTGTTTCTGAGGAGCTTGAAACTTAAGTAGGTTTATTTCCAGGTTTAGTTAAATTTTTAATAATATGAATTAACTGAAATTATACAAGTCAATTTATCCATTTATTTAGTATTAATATAAATTAATACGAATTTGTTTATTTTAATGTATTTTTATATAATATAAATGGCATAAAATAATTAGAAATATTATCTAAAAACTACAATAAAATATAATACAGCTAAAATATCCCTCAGGCACATTATATATTTTTTTTCTTCGTCTTTTTTAATTTAAACCTCGAAATAAACAAAGTGTTAGTATTTTGCAACATTTTAAAGAAAAGTACATAAATAAATAAACTCAGCGTTTATTGCACTTAACGTTAACATAAATTTGACGTAGGTGTCCACATTTGGTATTTTTGGCTTGTTAATTTCACAGTTAACTAGTTTTATTCCAGTCCTCCGGATTGGTTGATGCACGCGTGCTCTGGAGGCGTCGCGTCGCGTCGCGTTCGTTCCGCGGCGCGTCTCGCTGAGTCTGTCCGTTTCTCCGGGGATTCTGCGCCGGTGTGACGGTCATGGGCTCCCGGGACCGGACTCTGTGTCTGCTGGCCGCTGCTCTCCTCATCCACGGTACGGTTTCATTCATGAATCTCTGTCCCTCGCGGTGATGAATCTGGTGTGTTCTGTTGGGTTATCACGACTAGTTTTTCTTAAACACTGTGTTGTTGGTCTGTTGTCGTAGCTGTATTCTTATATTTTGTGTTATGTTATTGTATTGTGTGCTATGGCAGTACAATGGTACATTAATAGGAGCCTGTCATTAAAATAATATGCATTAGTTCACCATGGTATGAACGTGGTACTTCAAATAATAGCCAGCCGTGGTATCGGTGTAAATCACACACAGTATTAACCTACTTGTATCTATCTATCTATCTATCTATCTATCTATCATCTGTCTATCTCTCTGTCTATCTCTCTGTCTATCTATCTATCTATCTATCTATCATCTGTCTATCTATCTATCTATGCATTTTGTTTCTAAAGAGCTTTAAACTTATAAGTACTAGGTTTATTTCCAAGTTTATGTTCTCTTTACAAAAAAAGAAAGTAAATAAAAATAAATTAATTCATTCATACAGCTAAATTTATTTCAAATAAATAAATATTCACATTTTCACTTCATTTACTTATTTATTTATTTTAATGGGGTGTGTTTAGTTTCTGAGGAGTTTGAATAGGTTTATTTCCAAATTTATTTTCTCTTTACAAAATAAATATAAATTAATTTATGTAAATACATTATATATATATATGTGTGTGTATGTGTGTGTGTGTGTGTGTGTATAGTTACAACTAAATTAAAATGGAAAATTATTCATTGAAAACTATTATTTATTATTTATAAAATTATTATTAATATTTATGCACTAATCAATTATTTCGTTGGTGTGGGTTTTGTTTGAGGAGCATGAAACGTTTATTTCCAGGTTTATCTTCTCTTTTGCAAAATAAATCAATAAAATAATCAAATATGAATAACTTAATTATTTATATAAATACATTTATTTGATATAAATTAATATATTTATTTATTAGTTTATTTTAATCATTTTAATATTTTGTTTCTGAGGAGCTTGAAACTTAAGTAGGTTTATTTCCAGGTTTATTTTCCTCTTTTAATTTCTAAAATATAATAAAATAAAATAACATACATATATAATAATAAACCCATACATATAAATAAAATCATTTATATAAATAAGTTCTTATTTATTTACTTGCAAGTTTTAATTCTTGTGACAGAAATCCTACAGTAACAGTTGGTTTGAGAAACAGATGGATGTGATTCTCCTGAACCTAAAGATGCACGAAACACTTTTCAAGTGTCCTTTAACTTTCTTTTGCTCTAAAATACCATTAATTTCTCAAACCAGAGGGTGTGATTACAGTCGTTGTTCTGCGCTCTTGACCGAGATCTGAGCTCACGGATCCTCCAGCGTTTCAGACCGGTTGAATATTACAGCATGTTCACTCTGGAGGAAAGCACTGATTGATTTTGCGTATGAATCCTGATAAGTGTGTGGGGGGGGGAGCCGTCAGTGTAACTGAACCTTCTCCTGAACACAGACTCAGTTAAAGCGGCTTCATTATAGACACAGAGAGAGAGAGATTCACCAATCAGTCCTGAGTACAGTGAACAAAAGAGTTCAAAGACCAACAGATGTTGAGGATAGAGATAGATTACGTAACTTGCGTTACTTGTAATGAGTTACCCCCAACACTGGATACTGTCCCTACTGTTTGTAGAGGTTTATTTATATAAGTATGATCAATAGATGCTTGGCAACCAGCAATAGCTCTAATTAACTAGTGATCTAATTAACCAAACCTTCAAGCATAAACACAGACAATTAATGGAAATGCAGTTGGACTGAACAACTGTGTGTTTAACCGCCTCACAAACAGACAAGCATCACTTTCTCTGGGCTTTTTAACAACTTTAGTTCATTTTGGAATTTTAGAATGTCTTTCTTCATTATATCTAACATTCATTTATGAACATATTTGGGAGTTAAACCAAATTGCACAGTTACTTGTAGGGAGATCATAGTGTGAATTTATGCAAACCCACTCAAAACAAAAAAAAAATCCATTTGTATATATACAGTATATTTCACTCACTGAAAAACACTTCACTCATAGAAAATCGATTTCTAACCTTTATATAATGTGTTTTTTCTGGATTTTTTGGTCGGTATACTTTCTCTATACTTTAAAGGGTTACTCCACCCCAAAATGAAAATTTTGTCATTAATCACTTACCCCCATGTCGTTCCAAACCCGCTTCGTTTGTCTTCGGAACACAATTTAAGATATTTTGGATGAAAACCGGGAGGCTTGTGACTGTCCCATTGACTACCAAGTAAATTACACTGTCAAGGTCCAGGAAATATGAAAGACATCGTCAGAATAGTCCATCTGCCATCAGTGGTTCAACCGTAACGTTATGAAGCGACGAGAATACTTTTTGTACGCGAAGAAAACAAAAATAACGACTTTATTCAACAATTCGTAAACTGCGTATATTGTTCTGTGTCAGCCGCGCCACACGCATACGCTGTTTTCGTTCAAATCAAAATGTAAATAAACAAAATGTGACACAGAGAAGTAGAACAGTATACGCAGTTTACGTCCAGCTGATATTCTCCAAAATGGCGCTACGGTGACGCGGAGGAGACGAATTGTTGAATAAAGTCGTTATTTTTGTTTTCTTCGCATACAAAAAGTATTCTCGTCGCTTCATAACGTTAAGGTTGAACCACTGATGGCAGATGGACTATTCTGACGATGTCTTTCATACTTTTCTGGACCTTGACAGTTATATTTATGGCACCCTCTTGTAGACTGTTGATTTAAAAATCTTGTTCGCTGATCTTTTCCTCCTAACTGAAATTTTTTTTAGAATTCAAATGTAATTCAAATGTAGAAAATGGTTAAGTAAAAAAAGTTTGTGGATGGACGAACTGCTTGTCAGAGGAATCTTGTCTCATCACTGTTAAGATCAGTGTCTAAGTCTGTTTGCTCCATGCAGATTCATTTTGAATCTCTAATAATGTATTCTCTTTTGGTTTTTCCCTCAGCTGTACTTTGGGGCATCTTTTTCTTAGAAATGCATTGGGGGTTTACTTTACACACCGTGAGGGTGGTCAGGGTGGGGCTCATTGGTTTCAGTTAAGGGTGTACATTTCTTTGTAAGTGGGCAAACTTACAAAATCAGCAGGGGATCAAATAAATATTTTCCCCACTGTATATATTGATATATCACAAAAATATTAATGTTAAAAAGGTTTAAATAATATTAAAAATGTATTTTGGTCACTACAGTTTTCAGTTAATTCTCTCTCTCTCTCTCTCTTTCTCTCTCTCTGTGTGTGTGTGTGTGTGTGTGTGTGTGTGTGTGTGTGTGTGTGTGTGTGTGTGTCAGTGTCTATGCAGGGCGAGCATCAGCGACGTCTGTACAAAGACTTAATGAGAAACTACAATCCTCTGGAACGACCCGTTTATAACGACTCGCACTCGCTCACCGTTCACTTCAGCTTCAGTCTGATGCAGATCATGGACGTGGTGAGAAAACACACACACACACACACACACACACACACATCACATTTAACGTCTGTAGCCTGAAAAAATGTGTGAATGAATCAAAATGTTGATGTAGGACGGGACTTGGTTTTACACATTAGGGTTTGATTGGATGGTCAAAAGTGTGCTATGATGTTATTGGCTGACATAATTTTGCCCCGCCCACTTGGCTTTGATGATGTCAGCAGAAAATAAGTTAATCCTACTGCATCTGTTTCAGACTGAAAGTCCAAAGTTCTTCTAATTTAATATAAAAACAGAATGTGATTATGATATTAAATTATATATGAAACTGATTTGTGATATCATGATGAGCATACAGTCTTAAAACAGCCCTTCATTACTGGAGAAATGGTCTTTTGGTGGCAATTTTTGCACCAGTGTTGTTATTGCCAATTAAAAGATATTAAAAATTATTTCCTTAAATTGAAATTAAGATGAAAGAAAAGAAAAAATAAGTAGTGCATGAAAAATGTAAAAATTTAAATGTTGCCAAAGCCACTAAAAAACAAAACATGTTTAAGTTCAACTACTAAAATGACAAAACCTGAAATAAACATTTAAATAAAATAAGTTTTAGTTCAAGTGCCAACATTACTAAAACTAGAATTAAAATTATATATAAAACTAAATGAAACATTTAATTAAAATTGTTACAAATATAATAGTTTGTTATTTATTCTTTTTAAATTAATTAATTTATTTGATTTATTAATTTATTCAATCATTCATACATTCAAAATTATTTTATATTTCTTTACCTGAATTTTTCTAGAGTGTTCCGTATTTAATCATTTATTTACAAATTTATTTATTCAAAAAAATATTTTATATTTATTTATTTTTTAAAAACTGAAAAAAGCACACAACAAAATTATTAAAACTTAAGCTAAAATTAAATGAAAACTACAAATATATAAAAAAAATTTAAACTGAAAATGTGAATAAATACTATAATAATAAATAAACAATACTAAAATAACACTGAAAAACAGACAGACTGAAGTAATCGTCCGCTGACCTTCACAGCAGCTGAACTGACAGGAAAATGAGAGATGAGAATAACAGTGAGATTGAAGGGAGAGACGAGTACGGCTGAGGAAACAGTGTGTGTGTGTGTAAATGTGAATATTAATGAGAGAAACGAAGTAGATCTCATGACAGACTCAGATATTACAGTCCAGCGCTCGTGTTCATAATTAGTTTGCTCAGCACTCTATGAAGTGGCTCATTAATGCTGGCTAACAGTAGTCTGTGTTTAAAGAGCTCACGCTAATATGATAATGATGAGATCTGCTGCCAGACTCACTGTGTGTGTGTGTGTGTGTGTGTGTGTGTGTGTGTGTGTGTGTGTGTGTGTGTGTGTGTGTGTGTGTGTGT